ACTTTATATGCCATTGATTTATACCTATGAACAAATACGGAATCGGAAAGTCAGCATGGTTGGAACTTGGAATCTGCTTTCACTTTTGATCTCTGTTGAAATGGAGAGCACATGGTCATGGAAAGTGAAAACCGCTACAACACTTCACACGATAATTCGCGTATCGAATATTGCTATTTATATTGATCTTTATGCCACAGAGTGAGACAGTCCCTTACCTTTGTTGGCTATATACAACCTTTCCGGGTATCAACTAAGGCGAAGGAATAATATTCAATGAATAGACAGAATTTCTTCAAAAGGCACCAGACCGCTTCATATTTTACATAACAGTTCAAAATGCTCAATAACAGTGATGTAACTTTGTAACGATTTCAGTATAAACCGATATAAACTGAAAAGTATTGTAAAATTGGCGATCATACACATTTCTTTGTATTCTAATATTTTGAGGTTTTATTTCAGATATTTTTTCAAGATTGTATCGAATTTTCCAATTGTCGTTGTTGTGCATGGCTTGTGCCACCAATTGCGTATTATTAAGGATATTCATTATTCATATGTTTTAATACTGTAACTATTTAAAACAAAGCCTCTGATTAGTTCCCGGACTTAAGAGGTAGTCAATCAAGTACAATTTTACATGAAAAAACTATAATAAATCGTTCGACTTGAACTTATTTCAAAGTTTGATTGATTGAAAAAAACGTAATATCACAACACGGAATGTGACACACATGACAGTGCTTTACAATTTTTTTAGTTTTTTGTTTTTTGACACTAAGAATTTTGAAGCAATTTTAAAGACGCAAAGCGGCAAAAAGAGATGTTTACAAAAAAACAAGTTCATCAATTTTCACGGACTTGCTGCAAGTTGTTATCAAACTCGTCAGGACTTGTTAGCCACAACCATGTTGCAAATTGTTTGAACAACTTGCAGCAAGCCTGTAGATAACAACTTGCCGCGAGTCTGATTTTTTCAACTTGCATCAACATTGATGTGCTCACAGACTTGTTGCAAGTTGTTCCATCAGACTTGTTAAAACTTGATATCAACAGACTTGATGCAGGTTGATAAAACAAGTTGCATCAAGTCTGCAAGTGACAGATTGCATCAGCATTGATGCGTTCATCAGACTTGATGCAAGTTGTTCCATCAGGCTTGCTGCGAGTTGACATTTGCAAACTTGATGCAACTTGTTTTATCAACCTGCATCAAGTCTGCAAATTTCAACTTGCAGCAAGCCTGATTTTACCGGCTTGCTGCAAGTTGATGATGTCAACAAGCTTGCTGCAACTTGTCTACAACTTGCAGCAGGCCGGTAAAACCTGCAACTTGCAGCATGTCTGTGGCATTTCTGGCTGTGTATCATGATTTTAAAAAGGGCTACAAAGCAAGCTACAAACGTTTACAAAAGTTCAATAATGCCTCGAAAAACTGTGGAGTTGAAGCTCGAAGTAATATGGTTGCACAGAGAGCGACTTTGCTTATGTGATATTTTAACCTTGTTAAAAGAACAAGACAATTTTTCAATGGGGAGACGTCATCTTGCTGCGTTTATTTGCAGACACAAAACAACGGGTGATGTTGTGAATACACAGCCACAAAGCAGATCAAAAAAAGTATCTGTCGAAATTTTAGACTGCATTGATAGAGCAATGGACAGTAAAGACGAAATCACCGAAAATGATTTTGGAACATTATGGCATCAAAATATCAGAGCAAACAGTGCATTGTGTTTGTCGTAAACTTGGATGGTTGTCAACAGGAACAAAATATTGCCAGTTGGTCAGATAAGTAAATCGTCGAGTTCTGCCAAAGTTTAGAAGCAACAAAAATGAGTGTTTTTTGTTGAAGGTGTCCTAAGACTTCATCTGCTACCTCTCATCACGAATGTTTTTCCTGAAGGACATAGATTTGTTCAGGATAACGATCCGAAGCACACTAGTCGCTTCGCAAAAACATTTTACGAAGAGGCAGGGATAAATTGGTGGCCAACTGCGCCCGAGAGCCCTGATTTAAATCCAATTGAACTTGTGTGACATGAGCTTAAACATTACTTGCGAAAAACATGTAAGCCTGCAAAAAAGGAAGAGCTTGTTGATGGTATCAAAGAGTTTCGGGCAAACCTAAATGCAATCGCTATATTGATCATTTAAAGAAAGTTATACCGTAAGTGATTGAGAGAAACAGCCGCGCATCTGGTTACTAACTAAATAAAATAATCATATATGTATATTGTAATCATGTGTTAGATCATTCAAGAAAAAAACAAGATATGTTTCATGCATGTATTCAAATAAAAATTAATAATATGCTTTTATTGATACAAATGTTTTGTTCTTGTATTTTTGAATATATTTCTAATAGATGTTCTTACAATGAAAATATACTCACATAAAATAAACCATATATGATAAAAATATTTATCATTTTGCCAGTATAGATTGTTAAAAATGAAGTTCAAAAAAATGATAAAGTTGCTTAGTGAAAGGTATTTAAAGCACATTCTGAGTCATACAGTTAAGCTTAAATATGCAATGCTAATAGGTTCCATAAAAATTTATATGATAGAAGGTTCGTCCATCTCAAAGCCTAGCTCCAAAGTCAACCAAGAAAATTTCGAGAGTTTATTTTTAAGATTTGTTACCGATACACTGTCACCCCTTTCCATTGTGGAACAAACAAGTTTTATGGAGCTTCTTGTTTCCCTCAACCTTTCAATCATGATTTCCTTGTGTTACATGGTTACCACCCACCTAGAGAAAACAAAGACAGCGTGATGGCTTGTGTTATGACTGCAATGGGACAAGTTGATTTTGTTGCTACAACTACTGACTGCTGGACAGCCCACCATCGATTCGCGAATCTGCTGCCCTGGCTTGCCGTCATCTTACTGGTAAACATGATTTATTAACTACTAGGAAAGGAATTTCGCAAGATCTATGATCAATTTGAAAGAACTGAAAAGATCATTGGTACAACTACAGACAATCGGTTCAATTTTGTCAAAGCGTTTTCAGTGTTTAGTCCTTCAGAAGATGAAAATGACAAGTTGTTCCACATTTGCGAAATTCCAAGCTTTGTGAAAGAAGTTTGGTACAAACGACAGCAGTAAATGAGATTGTCTCCAAGGAAGCTGGGCTTCAGTTTGTCCGATAATGTGCTACCCATTGGAATTCTGTGTTTAAATCAGTTGCTCGCTTAAATTAAGTTCGCCACAAAAAGGGAAATTCTAGCCTGCGGTGCAGACGCTTCGAATTACAAAGGAACACATGCATAAGCGTCTGCGCATTGGAGAGCCGAACCTTGTTCAGTCATGTGGACACTTTCAGAAGTTAATATTCGCGTAAATATCATAATTAACAATGATTATTCATGGCGTTTGCTTCCCTTTCGTGCATTCTGTGTTTCTCGATTTTAACAAAACCTTATGATCGAAATTTAGTTAAGGGGCAATCAAGAAAAAGTGGGAAGATTGAACCTTTTTTTTGTCCTTCACTCGACCTCTCAGCATATATGCTGTGCATGCCTGAGAACTTTGCAGCAAAGACAAAACTGTAAGAAGAAGCTCAAAGATATCAACAACAATCTTTTGCGTCAATACCGTGAAAAAGCTGGACAAAGGGGACTTATGGTTAAAACAAAGGTGACCGCCAAACCAACGCTGTTGTTTGATGAAAATGAAGATCCAGTAACTCCACCTATTGCTCGTCAAGGCGAAAGTGTGCACTGTTCTCCTGTTGAACATTTTAAAATAAATTCATTTTTAATGTGAGGTAGAAAGATGTGGTTATGTGGCGGATTTTCCAAGATTTTGCTCTAAATTTTATTGATGTCCATTCTATGTACTTTTTTATTTTACATTCTTTAATTTATTTAAGGCAATTTTGTATCGATTGAAAGTTTTACGGCTTGTTGTGTCCCATACATTCCTCTAGAAGAAATTGGACCTGTTTGGTCTTGACCACAATGCAAAGATCATGGAGAAGGTGAGAAATGAAAGTGCGCAAATGTTATCCCTTTGGAATAATGAGGCAGGTGATGGTGGTGCTGACAAGGTTTTGGGCAATCACATTGATCATGGAAGGAAGATTGTTTTTGATAATTTGATTTTAACCAGAAAGTTCATCATATGAAAAACATCAGAAACCCATCAGAACATTGACAAACATTGGGTAGCACATATGTGTACCGAAAACTGGGTATCGGGAAATCATCTCAGCACAAAGGAAAGATCTACGAAGACTATTTTGGATATGGATAATGGCAAATGTATACCAGAGAGTGCAGAACATGTTTCTCAAAGAGAAAACTATGCCAATTTAGTTTCCCGCATTGTGGTAGAGAAAATTGAATGCCTTGCATTTCTCAAGGAACACGCAGTTCGTCATATCAAGCATATGCACTCAAGGGAAATGGCTAAACCAACTGAAACTGTAAGTGCTGCATATATTAAATTGCAAATGTTGTGTTTTTTATAATATATACATTTAAATACTTATTAATTTCAATGTCATAACTTCTTAAATGTTCCTGGGCATGATTTATCACAATAAAAGTTTAATATTGTATATAAATATTATACAGTTTCATATAATATATTTTGTGACTATAGTTCCATATCATTAGCATTGCTTGAAGAACATGCAATGTTTCTAATCTCAATACTAGTATTTAATAACTTCCTGCTGACCTTTTAAGCTCACTCATTTCCTGGCTGACTTCAAAAAAGCTGTCATCTTGAAAAAATGGCATATTTGCTGAGGAATCATCCCTAATATCTAACCAGTCTGAATCCACTGTTGCATCCAAATCACTGTCACCTAAATCAGACATAAATTCCTCTGCCCCAATGTCACCAAAAATTTCTGAAATGATATTTAAAACACCAGATGCATGCTCACCACGCCAAATTTCAACACAATTCATAATGTCAGGAAGAGAAACAGCTTACTTGAATTGTTTATAACTTGCAAAATCTGCAGAGTTCCAAACTCTATAAAACATTTGGATGCAGCAACACTTGCTTTGGGGCTTTGCTCCTTAAAACATCCCGATAATCGTATAATTTGGATTCCAGTGATGCTTTCTGTTGCTCTGTGACAGTTCTATGCTTTCCATGCTGATATGTAATCTGCTCATGTGAAAAAACTGGTAACATTTTTTTGGCACATTCACCTTTTAAGCCCAAGCATGAACAAGCCTGAGCACAAACATAACAGCACTGGCAGCCTTGCATTAAAATTTCATGATTGCCAGGAAAATGCTTAAGGATATCTCTTCTGTAGCATTTTTGTTTGTTTATCAGCTCCTTCATGTGATCAGCGCAGCAAAATGTTAACAAGCCATTATAGAGAAGAATACCACCATCTCTGCCAACACGCCCGCATTCTTGCAAATAGCATTCAGTTGTTTGAGAGGGACCAAAATGAATCACCTTGCGTGCACCTTTTATGTCTATCCCCATGCCGAATGCAATCTTACAAATAAGAACCCTAACATAACCATCAGGAAGGCACACAGATTTTAGAATATGCTTCTTAGAAGACTCTGGTGTTCCAGCATGGTACATTTCAACAATGCAGTCTCTCAGCATCATGGTTTCACCAGCATACATGCTTTTCCCCAGTTCCACCTTGAATGTTCTCCATATGACAGCAGCTTGTTTCCTTGTTTGGCAGTATATTAAAGTTTTTGAACATTTGACATTTTTTTCCTTAACTTCTAGTATAACCCCATGGAATACGTCTGGAGAGCTCTGAAACAAAAGTAAAATGTCGCTTCGCGTGAAAAATATTGCTAGTGGAAAACCGGCTTAAGTTCCAAATCATTTTCAATGTATTGAAAAGAATAGCTAAGGTTTGGATGCTCGGGACTTTTCAAAACTTACTGTTTCTTCCATCTTGAGTTCTAAAACGTTGAAAATCTTTGATTTAGTTGATTTTGTTGCTGTGGCAGTACATACTATGAGATTCACGTCTTTCATTAGGCCCCTGATTACTCCATGATTTCCATACCAAGATCTAAAGGCAGCTTTTTGCCCTGCCAATCCCCTACAACACAAAGTAATATAATATAATATTCTGTTACAAACATACGTAACAAACACTATAGATATATTAATAACATACACTATAGAATATAGATACATGATTAAAATATATCATGCGCAAATGGATAAACTTACCACTGACTGACGCAATGAGCTTCATCAACAGCAATACAGACACAATTGTCCACAAAGCTTTCTGATTTCCATATTTTCTCCCAGCGTTTAGTCGCCAACATGGACTCAGGCGACGTGAAAACAAGTGAATATACACCGTCTTCGATATCTGGTAAAATGGATTCATCTTGGCCTTTAAACACAGCAGCAGAGCTAATTCCCAATTCATTCATTTTATTAACTTGATCGAGCACGATTGACTTTCCGTACCCAGTACTCGCACAGAAGTAAACGTTATTTTCTTCAAGGAAAGCTTTAATGGCTTTGACCTGATCCTCGAAAAGGTTTTTGATTTGAAAAAAATAACAAACTTGTCTTACAGTATCTTCGAAACATTTACCTTGTAACTTTGCTCCCTCGATAAACCCCATCTTTACGACAATTCAAATAAAATAATCACAATTTGTGCATAAACCAATCACAGCGAACCAATCACACACGATTCCTATTTTTTTGGGAATATCCATGTGACTGAACAAGGTTCAGCTCTCCAATGCTGCGCAGATGCTTATGTGTGTGTTCCTTTGTAATTTGAAGCATCTGCACCACAGGCTAGGGAAATTCAGCAATCAGCAACATCTGTCATAGTTTAGACCTACCACGGTAAGGAAAGATTTCAGGTACATGCATGCTTTAATTTATCTATATTTGAAACATATGTGAGAAGTTAATGATTTTAAGTCTTCAGGTAAATTTCTTAAACATTCATACATTGACACAACTTTTTCTTTGTTTGGCTTCAAGGATACTGAATATGAGTTTCTTGAAACATACAAATAAATAATGAAGCCTGTTGCAAAAACACTGGACATCCTTCAGGGTGACAAAACACTAAATTCGGATTTTTAGTACCAACTCTAGAAGAGCTCAGAAGACGATTGGGAAAAGAAAAGTCCAAACTTACTCAAAATAACAGTGTTTGCCTTCCACTTGTAAATGCAGTTCTTGATGCAATCAGTAGAAGATTTTCTGTGTTGCTCGAAGATCCTGAAGCAATTGCTGCGGCAATTCTTATTCCTTCAATGAAGGACATGTGGACAGACGACAAGGCACTGCTTGAATTAGGTTGGAAACTTATAAAACCACACAATCTTTAGAATGTTGTGATAAATAACTGTATAACTATAGTGCAGTCATGTTCTATTTTGACTATTTAACAGAATATTTCTTTTTTTCATGTCCGGGATTGGAATTTATCCGATTGCATCTTGTCATAGACACTGACATTGATACACATCAACCTCGGACTAAACTGACAAGGATGATGACAATGATTTTTTCAAGTCTAAGAAGAAGACAGCTAAATCACCTTTATATACCTACTTAGCTTCAGACATCATTGGTGCTATAGTTTACAATGGACAATGTACTGCACCTTTGAAGCAAATGGCTTTGAAACTAACAGTGTATTGCCTGCAAGTGCAGCTGTTAAAAGTCTTTTCAGCTGTGGAGGCTTGATCATGTGCCCACACCAAAATCGGTTGACTGATGACCATTTCGAGTTGGCACTACTTTTAAAACTAAACTCCAAATTTAGTACTGTTGCATAGCTAAATCTTAACTTTTAACTTGGGACTACCTTTTGAATTTCTATTTTGTTGTTCTCTAATTAAGTCTCTTTGACCTTTCATGGGAAACTAATTGAAGGACAATTCACCTGTGTAAAAAGGTGGTATAAAAAGCGCTTTGTTTTATCGTACAAAAGACCTTTGGTCCTAGATTTCCTGACATTAGCTTTGCTTGCATTTTGCATGAAATGTTTATTGGCTTATAATATGGTTTTGGAAGGTGGACCTTCTAATCAATTTTCGGCCCAGTTACATGATACCAGATTCGCTCATAACAAGATCCTTGTTTGCCGTTATACAGTAGAGCAATGTTTAGTATCAAACGCTTACTAATTTGATAGATTTGCATTGGTATATTTACTTAGGTCTCTGACATTCAAAATATTTACTGGCTGTTAATACCTAAAATATTCGTTCCGATAGCAATTCGAAACATGTAACTGGGCCATAGTGTTACTCCACTGTTCCTACCACTTCAGAATTCTTACTTTATCATAACAGATTTAATCTTTCCACTGAGTGGCTGTGCACCCGAGAAAATGTGTTGTAGTTTGCATCATAAATCATAACCAGCATAATAAATAAAAGCGGGGATGCAAAATAAACTTAAAATTATGCAGCTGGCCGAGGACTAAATACGTTGTCATACATCCTCGTTTCAACCTTGTTCCCTGCACATTTCTCTATTGTGGTTGATCATCATTTGTCACCATTTGAGAACGTAAATATTCAAATTAACCATCTTGCAACATCCACAATAGGTTGTATGAAAAATCCTCAGTACGTAATATTGATAAATATCACAATGTTCAGAAATACATGTACAATAGATTAAGTTATTGGCATTTTGGAATTTAAAATGCTTCTAATCGTGCAGTTATGTGGTGCAGGCAAACAGCTAAGTGGCTACTGCATCATCATATCAGTTAACTGATATTGGTGCAGTTCACACTGATGCATACCTAGATTATAATATTTTCATAAGACTTCGCCTCCTTAAATAAAACATTCCGTCTTTCACTGAATGAAGATATATCAGTTCTTTCCATTGCACGATTCTTATATGTATATATAAAGCCCGGTTCAGAAGCCGTGCTTCTCAGTGGCGATAATTGGACACATATTCATATATTCATGTTGTGCAAGATTAATTTATTTTCAAATCCATTGTCTTTACAAGTCTGTTAACATGAATATATGAATATAACATTTATCGTCTCACGTACGCCACTGGTGCTTCTCATGAGTCAAACTTAATATATGAGAACTTAATATACTGAATTAGATTAGACCACAGTTAATGGAGAGAGAGGTTATGGTTAGGGTAGGGTAACTGTTGATTAGACGCATGAGAATTACGGCGTCTGAATCAAATAAGTACTGACTGCACTGTACTTAATGTTCAGCAGGGCTAAATTAAAAAGTTCGCCTATTTTAGTCGACGAAGATATCAATCAATATCGGCGTCTGAACTGGGCCTGAGAATCGTGCAAAACTAACGTTTTTGGTTAAATCAATTAAAGATTTGTTATCGTTTATGTTTCAAATTTCAAAAAGTAGATAATGTTGGAAGGCACTTGTTATATTTTTATATCCAGGCGATGAAGTAGAGATAATGAGCGTGGATGGTGCTAAACTTGGCCGTGGATTGATTACAGATCAGAAATCTGTTCACTCCCACGAAATCACTTATGGCTGGATTCCAATATTGGTGCATGATATTTGCCCGGGTGTGAAGCCCTGGAAAGATTATCCAACACATTCTGAGACAGTGGAAAAAGGCAGTTTTGTTGCTTGGCCGAAGACCTACGTTGAACCTGTAAATAAAATTTAATATTTATGACCTAGCAATTTAATTAATATCAGTTTTGTTTATACAATGTCAATAAAATTAGCTTGTATCTAACAAGTATCTTCAAATTTCTTTGTTCATATTATTTGTTCATTCTGTTGATTTGTTCTTTTCCATAAAAAACGTTTATATTGTGAGAATCGTCAACTGTGTCAGGTCGACTTTGTGTTGGTTCGAGTCCAACTCGCAGTAAATCACCTCACAATTTTGATAAAATAATTTTACAATCATGTATAGTTGGCAGCCTAGAAAATATACTTAAAGTTAACATAACATAAATTATCCAGTGACAGCTTGCACGGACATTTAATGGGTTTTTTTTCATAAAGAAGCGACTCAATTGTCTTTGATTTGCATCGAAATTACGCGTCACATGTCATTGAACAGTGATCAAAATTTCTATGTCATATCAATGAGCGTGAGTATGAGTGAACTTTCTGAATATAGGCGATAGAATCCAATATATTAATCAGCTATTCTTACGATGACGAATATGCGCAACAGGGGAACTGGGAAAAAACGGCAGTAAAATTAAAACTACTGATGAAATTTAGGGTAATTTAGGGTAGTAAACCAGTTTCAGGCAAATTCGTTAATAGATAATTACTAAGGCCAACAGGGTTAGTCGATATACAGGGTAGTCCAAAAAAACTGACACCTTTGAAATTCAAATTAGCTGCAATGTGTCTGTAATCGGCTGTAATGTGACAGAAGTTGCCTAAAATATCTTATGGGTATACGAAGCATATCAAATATGTGAACCCATTAATTAACCTTGAACATAAAGTTTGTTCCCTTTGGGAGTTAAAATGCATTCTAGGCTCTGAAATAAAAAGGAACGTTGAATGAGTTCAATTGGTTTAAACACTTTCGCATTAAAGGTAAAGTAAAGTAAAGTAAAGGTGTCGATTTGTTTTACTCACCCGGCACGGGGTGTCCCAAAAAAACGCCAAAAGCATTGAAATCATCCATACAATGTAATGGCTGGAGTTTGACTGCCTGAGCACCCGGTTGGGACCCACAAATGTACAAATGGAGAAGTCATGCAATAATGTATAAATTATTATTTTGCTAAACAAGCTTGCATTGTTTTTACGCAGCCATGGTTGAGAACATCTAAAACTAAAACAATGAAATAATTGTTTAAAAAGTACTATTCTCAAGTTGAGAAGGGTGGTTCGGATATGTAGTGCCGGTAAGGTGTGTCTGACAAGATTTTATCTCGATGAGAATCTACATATAGCATGGAGAATCCAAGAAGCAGCAGATGATTTACCTGTGGCACTAGATAAAGTCGACTTTGATGATGTGTAGATGAGGAACAGAGAGGTGAGAATGGAGATGTGTACAAGATTGCTTTATGAAAATATGTGTTTTAATCTATGTATATATACTTGTTGTTGAGATAATTAGTTGATGTCTTTTAATAAGATTGTTCTCTTCAGGGGCAGTTGAAGCACGATTCTGAACTCCAATCAACACGGGTGATTGTGAAAAAATTCAAGAAAGCTGGATATCAGATTCAGTGTACAGGTAAAAATAACATAAAGAGTTATTTCTAATAATGGTGTTAGATAAGTATAGTCCGGCTGCATTATTTTGAAAAGGGAGCATTTTTTTCTTAATAATGTTATAAAATTTGCCAAAGACATTCGATGATATAACGCAGAGAGAGAACAATAGGCTTGACGATGGTCAGTATTTTTGTAAATCTAACCGCGCGCGGTTATACTGTGTTGGGATATGCCGTTTCACCGTTATTGGGTCACGTGACGTTAAAATGTTCCCCATGATAGAAAACGTATATAAGCATGAAATTTTGCACAGCTTATTAGTCCACTGAAATATGTTAAAATATAAAGTTTCAGAAAAATTCGTTAAATCTAACCACGCGCGCTTATGCTTGTTGGGATTATAGGGTGCTGTAGATGGTAATATAAGCTGTTATATATAATATAAGGTGGCAACAGGTGAAGTTAAAATGTTCCCCATGATAGAAAACGTATATAAGCATGAAATTTTGCACAGCTTATTAGTCCACTGAAATATGTTATAATATAAAGTTTCGGACAAATTCGTTAAATCTAACCACGCGCGCTTATGCTTGTTGGCATTATAGGGTGCTGTAGATAGTAATATAAGCTGTTATATATAATATAAGGTGGCAACAGGTGACGTTAAAATGTTCCCCATGATAGAAAACGTATATAAGCATGAAATTTTGCACAGCTTATTAGTCCACTGAAATATGTTATAATATAAAGTTTCAGAAAAATTCGTTAAATCTAACCACGCGCACTTATGCTTGTTGGGATTATAGGGTGCTGTAGATAGTAATATAAGCTGTTATATATAATATAAGGTGGCAACAGGTGACGTTAAAATGTTCCCCATGATAGAAAACGTATATAAGCATGAAATTTTGCACAGCTTATTAGTCCACTGAAATATGTTATAATATAAAGTTTCGGACAAATTCGTTAAATCTAACCACGCGCGCTTATGCTTGTTGGCATTATAGGGTGCTGTAGATAGTAATATAAGCTGTTATATATAATATAAGGTGGCAACAGGTGACGTTAAAATGTTCCCCATGATAGAAAACGTATATAAGCATGAAATTTTGCACAGCTTATTAGTCCACTGAAATATGTTATAATATAAAGTTTCAGAAAAATTCGTTAAATCTAACCACGCGCACTTATGCTTGTTGGGATTATAGGGTGCTGTAGATAGTAATATAAGCTGTTATATATAATATAAGGTGGCAACAGGTGACGTTAAAATGTTCCCCATGATAGAAAACGTATATAAGCATGAAATTTTGCACAGCTTATTAGTCCACTGAAATATGTTATAATATAAAGTTTCGGACAAATTCGTTAAATCTAACCACGCGCGCTTATGCTTGTTGGCATTATAGGGTGCTGTAGATGGTAATATAAGCTCTTATATATAATATAAGGTGGCAACAGGTGACGTTAAAATGTTCCCCATGATAGAAAACGTATATAAGCATGAAATTTTGCACAGCTTATTAGTTGACTGAAATATGTTATAATATAAAGTTTCAGAAAAATTCGTTAAATCTAACCACACGCACTTATGCTTGTTGGGATTATAGGGTGCTGTAGATGGTAATATAAGCTGTTATATATAATATAAGGTGGCAACAGGTGACGTTAAAATGTTCCCCATGATAGAAAACGTATATAAGCATGAAATTTTGCACAGCTTATTAGTCCACTGAAATATGTTATAATATAAAGTTTCAGAAAAATTCGTTAAATCTAACCACACGCGCTTATGCTTGTTGGCATTATAGGGTGCTGTAGATGGTAATATAAGCTGTTATATATATATAAGGTGGCAACAGGTGACGTTAAAATGTTCCCCATGATAGAAAACGTATATAAGCATGAAATTTTGCACAGCTTATTAGTCCACTGAAATATGTTATAATATAAAGTTTCAGAAAAATTCGTTAAATCTAACCACGCGCGCTTATGCTTGTTGGCATTATAGGGTGCTGTAGATAGTAATATAAGCTGTTATATAATATAAGGTGGCAACAGGTGACGTTAAAATGTTCCCCATGATAGAAAACGTATATAAGCATGAAATTTTGCACAGCTTATTAGTCCACTGAAATATGTTATAATATAAAGTTTCAGAAAAATTCGTTAAATCTAACCACGCGCACTTATGCTTGTTGGGATTATAGGGTGCTGTAGATAGTAATATAAGCTGTTATATATAATATAAGGTGGCAACAGGTGACGTTAAAATGTTCCCCATGATAGAAAACGTATATAAGCATGAAATTTTGCACAGCTTATTAGTCCACTGAAATATGTTATAATATAAAGTTTCGGACAAATTCGTTAAATCTAACCACGCGCGCTTATGCTTGTTGGCATTATAGGGTGCTGTAGATGGTAATATAAGCTCTTATATATAATATAAGGTGGCAACAGGTGACGTTAAAATGTTCCCCATGATAGAAAACGTATATAAGCATGAAATTTTGCACAGCTTATTAGTTGACTGAAATATGTTATAATATAAAGTTTCAGAAAAATTCGTTAAATCTAACCACACGCACTTATGCTTGTTGGGATTATAGGGTGCTGTAGATGGTAATATAAGCTGTTATATATAATATAAGGTGGCAACAGGTGACGTTAAAATGTTCCCCATGAAATTTTGCACAGCTTATTAGTCCACTGAAATATGTTATAATATAAAGTTTCAGAAAAATTCGTTAAATCTAACCACACGCGCTTATGCTTGTTGGCATTATAGGGTGCTGTAGATGGTAATATAAGCTGTTATATATAATATAAGGTGGCAACAGGTGACGTTAAAATGTTCCGTATGATAGAAAACGTATATAAGCATGAAATTTTGCACAGCTTATTAGTCCACTGAAATATGTTATAATATAAAGTTTCAGAAAAATTCGTTAAATCTAACCACACGCACTTATGCTTGTTGGGATTATAGGGTGCTGTAGATGGATAATATAAGCTGTTATATATAATATGAGGTGGCAACAGGTGACGTTAAAATGTTCCCCATGATAGAAAACGTATGCTTGTGAGGTTCCGTAGTTTGGCCAGTGGATTACCCCACCCCCCACCCCCGCCATATGACATAATCTATATGACAGTGTAAACAGCCTCGTACATGATTTTTTACATTCGTATAATGAGCTGGTGTCCATCAGCTTTCTTCTTTACATTCTAACAAGCATTAGTTAAAATAGTTATACTTTTTTATAAATAATGATGGCCTCCTAAATCACTAATGATACCACGAGCTGGAATTGAACCAGCTGTTAACGTCCAGTCATTGTTTATGTCATAAAGTGAAGTTATCGGTCATCAATCGTGCAGATGTATTATACATTAATCAAAAAGACTTTTGCTGCAATTTTGCAAATGTCTATGCAGTGATGCAGTCTACTCTACATGTGACATTTCTTTCACCAAAATTCAAATTTACAGTTACACTTCAAAACCCTTTTTTGAAGTTAAAGCGATAGTGTGATAGCTTTTCTTTCATAGTCGGTTATGTCTTTGCAGAACGATATACCAAAATACCATCATTAAAATTGAAATACAAACTTTGCAGAGAAGCAATATAGAATATAGTCAACTGCTTAAGGTTAATCTCAGAATCAAAATGCTGCAAATACTGTCTCTTACCCAGGCTTAACGAAGGCCTAAATTATATTCCTTATCGATATTAATATATATGTAATAATAATTTTTATTTACAATAGTTTTAGAAAAGTATATCAAACTTCATCGTATTCCCAATATACTCTTATGTCATGCTATCACCATCTCCAGCATCATCCTCAACATCATCCTCAACATCATCCTCGCTATCTACAGTCTCTTCAACATCATTATCAGTTTGAAAAAGCTGTTCGACGTAACCGTCTACATCCTCTGGTATGAGAATGAACTCTTTGAAAAGATTACAGGCAACACTCAAGTTGATACGATCTTCATGAAGCTCGTTCTTTTGAATTGAGTACAATCCTTTCTTAATTTCATCATCTTCAAAATCATCATTTATTCGTAAATAGTTAATCTTTTCTTCCCGTTCCACGCACGCTCCAAAAAATGCACTAACACAGTTCTCCATTTCGTTCACCAAGTGTTGCTCTTCTTCTGTTAATCTCTTTATCAAGTTAACTGCGTCGACTGCTGTTCGTTTAATGGAAAGTGGGATATCATCTTCATTAGGAATGTTAACACTGTAAATGCTCCCGCTGACGTCGCTTACCTGTTTCCAAGTTAAGTCGCCAAATTCCTCGTAACCATTTTGACGTAAGATCTCAACCGACGAATTATATTTCTTCAACAATTTCTGCAAATTTGCACTCTCCTTAGTTATACTCTTCGCCAGTCGTTTCGCTTGTTTTTGCCCATCTTCAAAACAGAATCCATTATAAAATTAGTGGTGGATGGGAATGCACAATTAGGTTAAACCAGTAGCCAAACTGCATGCGGTAGGCATGTATGCACAGTACTGTGATGTACCTGAATACTTTTTTTTTAAAGATAAAAGAAACCATCTTCTGCGACCCGAAACCAAGAGCATGTCTTTAGCTTGCTTTGCTTTTACAGCTTCCTGTGTATTCAAAGATGAAATGAACTGCTGGTCCGTTGGATTCCACCTTTTTTTTATCTGATGTTCTTTCTCCATTTTAATAAAACGCTGATTAAGGCTAAAATGGTAACCCTTTGTTTATGAAAAATAATATCACCAGTAGTGTTTATGTAATAAGTAAACAATACTAGCTCACAACAGCAGCAATAACACAAGCAACCATATGTAAGTTTGCCAAACAAATATCTACTTAGATTTGTTGCATATATATACTGTCGATACCTGTTCATAAGAATTTCAAGGTGAGCTGATTGGTTCTCCCCAGTTCCATCAGCTAGCTGGTTCCTTCAAAAAAACTCATCTTAAGTACATACATCTTAAGATCCTGCATGGTATACTGTATATATTAATGTAAATATAACAGTACGTTTAAAGGCAACTTTTACATGATACATTGTAATTGGACATCTAAATAACATCTGGTTTGCACATTTTTTCATATCATAAATTGTTGCGTTACCTTGCGGAGTAATACTAACGCAATAGTGAGAAATAAGGCAGTATCCAGCCATGGGCTCCAAGATCGACTGAACAAAGAAAAAAGAAATACAACATCGAAATAATTTGTGAGATAAAATTTTTCTTATCATTCACGTAATAAATTAGTGGTTCAATGCATAATTCTAAAACCTGGGCCAAGTTGCTCAAAGCTAGGTTAGCGTTAACCTGGGTTAAATTTTAACCCAGTGTTTTCTTTAATGTGCTTCTGGACCACTATTCGTTTCAAAACCTTAGAAAATATGACTTTATTCAGACTATGAAGTTATTCAACTTCGTAAACAGGTGATTAAAAAAATTAATTTAAAGATTTAATTTGCTTTAACCCAGGGTGAAGCTAACCGGCTTTTGAACAACCGGCCCCCGAGGTTTAATTTTTGATTATTATAAAGCGACCAATTTAAAGACAATATAATTAGCCATGATAGTAACCTTCGGCAGGCTTTGATTTTCTTAATAGTTCGTTTTCCTGATCTCTCCACTGCTCCACTATTGTGTCGGTAATTGGTGCTAAAAAGGCAATTTAATTTCACTAAAAACAGTTCACACCTTAGTCTGTATGCTTACACTAAGACTACATTATATAATGTTATTATTAGCTACTGTACCTGGCGAGTTTTTTCGCAACTCATCTATTTCTGCATTGGCAGATATAAGCAGTTCTTTACACTGCTCTTTTTGTGCCTTTAACAACAGTACTGTTTAAAAGAAAAATAATTGAAAATGTTACGGCAACAAAACTTCGATTGTATAATATACAGATCTGATGATTTACTGTTTATACCCAAGCTACAGTATGCATGTTTCACCTGTTTTTGATCTTTGTTTCTTGGCATAAAAATACAAGGCATCAGACAGTATGTCTTCTCGATGGCAGGCAGTCATTTCTTTTGTCATCTTTCTGAACAGACGCAAGTAAGACCACAGTCTTTCCATGACTTTTCCATCAACCATTCCCCATCCTTCTAGTCATCTTGGACTGTACAACAACTGAAAATTCATGAAAGCTTATGAGCATTATAAGGTATGTTCTTATGCAATAATACAATAACTTAATGAATACGTAGTAATTAAGCACCTGACAAGTCGCACCATGACCGTATACATGAAATTGAGGACAGGCCAGTTGAATGCTGCTCAAAAGATCAGTCATATTTTGCTTCTAAGACAGGGATAAAACAGCAAGATATTTAAATACATGGTTAAATAAAACTCCAACAGTGCTTTTAAACATTGGTAGACATATCAAAGATACATGAGTGCAAGAATATAAATATGCCAAAGATCTATGGTAATAATTAAATTTGGCAACAAATTACAATATGTTGATTTTGTTTCTCCTTCAGTTTCCATAAAACACTTTACATATGACAGTATGTAGTATATATTGGATACCAATCGTACTTTAAGATGCTCTTTGAACAAGCAACAAATGTCGTACATAAAGTGGACATCAACGTTATTTCCTTTCTTTTCTACTAAATCTTTTAGCATGTAAACTGCATAACCAAGCCTAAAATGAGAGAAAAATATCATAAAAAAACATGCAACACCACTATTGCTAAACCCAAAAGCTTTAGCTAACCAGCTGCCTTGTGACGTGATTTGCTACTTTTTTTGGTTTCAACTAACACAAAGACACGGTACTGTAACGCTTTCAACTAGGTAAGACAAAAACCCCCAAATAATTCATGCTTATATATATCTCTACATATTTCTCCTTGAATTTTTTATATATAGAAGCTAGTATATATGTATATGTATACTGTATGCATACCACTAGTAAGTATGCATACCACATAGTACCTCTCTCCCCCTTTTAAATTCAAAAACCTGATAGGCATCCCATGTTTACAGCTTAATCCGCAAACAGCAGTTTCATCTAAAGCATCATAGCGTCCTTTCGACCTGATTTCTGACCCTGCTTGAAAGTCGCTACAATCCTTAAAATATAGTACAAAATTGTGGCTTGTATCTCAACTAAATAGGATAATAAATACATGATTGTTTTTAGTGAAAGCCCTAAAATATAAGCTCAAACATTGTGCTTATATGGTTTAGGCAGTTAAATGGTTTAGTGCAATTCACATTGTTGGGAGCCTCTGAAGAGAATTACATAGTGAAGTTTTAATGTTCTTGTGTTAGTGGTTAATCTGTTATCACATTATGTTTACTAGTAAAGTATCTAACCTTAGGCAGCTGTGATTCTTTAGCAGACTTCGGGTATGTGGACATAAATTCATCAACATTCTGTTGCTCATAGAAATACACTCGGGCACTCAATGGATCTCTATAGCTTAATCCAGAGGCCTTTTTTCTTGGTAAACCAAAACAAGCATCAGCAGAAACGAAGCATTTGCCATCAGTCTATAAAAATATGATACATATTTGATGCTCAGTTTAGAGAGGTGATCAATGTTATCATGTTCTTAATTGAATTTAAATACTGCCTATATCTGGTGGTTTTTTTTGCAATTTATTCTTGGAACAAAAAATGATGTATAAGTAGACTGCATAAGTATGAAGCATAATTATATTGTTTCATTAAAAAAAAATTCAATGAAATAATATTCAATTAAATAATAAACTCTATTAATTGCTATAGTGTGTTTCAGATTACGAATGCCAACAAGAAGTTTGACTGCCATATCTGACAGAATATTTTTTATGAACCAAGTTGTAATTGCCTATAAGTCATATCTGGGCATAAAGATGCATACTATTGCAAACAAGAGATTAATTAATATATATGACTTGTAACCTTAGGGCAGGCAGGACATTCTATTACAGCACAGGTAACATCTTCTGCATCAACATCATATGCTTTTCTGTTCTTCAAATGATACCTTACATGTAAAACAAGGTATACAATTATGACTCGGGACCTGTCATTTCATCAGTAATATTAAAATACCAAGGATCTATATAGTACAGTATATATGCATAATTAAATTTACCTGTATTCTTCAAAACTCTCAATAAACTGGTCATAAATTTTCTTTTTCTACACAAAAATTACAATGATGCATTCAGGTGGTTAAGCCATTAATGCAAGAACCACATCATTATAAATTGAATAATAAACACCATTACTGTCTCACTGTATTACTGTCATTACTGTAATTCTCCCTTCAAGAGTACACTCCATCCCCGACACAATTATTGTATTTATTTTTTACCTTTACAACTGGATTTTTAAAGAAATCCAAAGTTTTCAGCATATCATGAATTGAAACATGACATTCCATGACAAGCCTCAATGTCATTTCCATCAAATCTAATGTGAATCCCAAATTAGGTTCGACAGGTGTTGCTGGCCAAATACCACAATGAAGCAGACTTTTGGGGACACCAAAACAAGTGCAATATTCAAACAGTATTTCATGAAAACCTAAAAAGCAAGAGCAGACTATTTAAGACCGAAAATCCATATGCGTAGCTTATGCATGACTGGCAACTCACTATTTAATACTTTGGTGTCTGGAAGAGTGATCATGAGATACACATATATAATCCCAAAAAAGCATCATATAATTTTAGGGCCAACATTACTTACATAATGGTCAGGTTTTATTAATAAAATTGATGTGTTATTACTGCAAATTAGGGCAGCTTGAATATAATGTAAATTATCAGGGCTGTAATTAGATAGGGTGTTGTACATTGATATATTCATGCAGTATGTAAACTCATACTGTAGGAACAATTGCTCTCAAAGGAAATCAGTCTGGCAATTAAGATATGGTCACCCAAATTATGCACCCTGCAACCAGCTTCTAGCTACAGCCTTATAAATTATTGAAGTATTTGACTATGCTAACCATTTGTGAAAAGCCAACAAGTCAAGTTCTATATCTAACTTTGCCTGTATACACATTATTTATTACCTTTTAAATCAACAACTGTGATTGGCTTTAAGTGTGTTCCTTCACACTGGTGTCTCTCATTGTGCAGAATTTGACCAGGAATGTTGTATTGTTTCCACAATCCCTCCTTATAATATCATTTTAGAAATTTGTAAGTGTGCATGTTCAGATATTTTATAATACACTACATAGAGGTTTGACAGTCGTTTCTCATTCAATGGCAGAACTGTGCATGAAGGACCACTTCCACAGGGATTCAACTGTTCTACCACCAGGGTGCATATAAATAGGGCACTTCTGCAGACCCAATAGATTGAAAAAATACCAGGCTTGCAGCTTGTTGAGCTGAACATATACTACATGTAGCATTAAAATAGAACACAGCAATGGTATACTAGCTAGCATATTCCTTAATTTCCTTTCATAATTGTATATTAAACACTTACTTCAAATATCTCACAGTAATGGAAATGTAGCTGGTCTCTATGTATATTATCACAGCAATCTTTGCAATAATATTTAGAGAAGCTGCAATCTTTGCAACGAGTTTTTACGGCCTGAGAACAAGTTGACTCGCTACATTTTGACAGAACAAAACCTTCAATTGCTAGTGATGTCCGCAGTAACTGTAGCTTTTTCCCCTCCCAATTTGACGATAACCGTTCTCTGCGCTTCTTGTAGGTGACTCCAGACGGTAACTTGCTTGATTCATCGTCACTATCGTGTTCTGATAAGTCGTCAAAGTCTGTGGTGTCACAAGGCTCGTTCTCAACATCATGGCTTATCCCGTGCAGTTGTACAGTTTCATCGCACGTCTCGGCCTCTTCGGCTGTTTCCAAACAACTTGCAACGGGAAGCCTAACGTTTGTCCTTCTCCTACTCCTCGCATCAACAACTTCGATGCTAGAGTTGGCTTTCCTTTTACCTTTTTGAAAATACATTTTTAAACTTGTGTATTTTCAACTCTTCCATCGTCCGCCATTTTATTACAAAACCTTACTCGCCCTCCCCCTACTAAGAAAAATTTTCGTATTAAACAATTCCCAGTAACTTACTGGATACAATGTGCATATAATATCTATTAGTTTATTGGATACAACGTTCGGATCGGGTGTGCCAGTATATCAGGAAGGTTTAATGGTGTGCAACAGAAGCTCAGTGAAATGTTGGAAAGGAAGATCCCTTACACAAAGTGCACTCCACATGGAGTTAACCTGGTTGTTGAACATGGTTGTTCATCTTCGCCATTAATTGGCAAAGTATTTGCTGTTTTGGAGAAAATTTTCGTCTTCTTTATGGATAGCCCAAAAAGAAATCAACATGTGAAAGAGAAATGTAAAGAAGTTGAAAATTTCTTAGAGCTGCAAAACCTGTCCAAAACAAGATGGACTGCCTGACCAGAATCTGTAGAGGCCATTTGAAGATGCCTAGAGGGTATTTTATCAGCTTTTGACGCAATTACCGAGGCTGGTGACTCAGATGCAAAGACCAAAGCTGCTGGACTGATTAACATGATTTTTAACATTGACTTTATCTGTGGGATAATGTTCCTGAGAAACGTAATGTACAAGACGAAATCACTCGCTGAATATCCCCAATGAGAAGCAGTTGATATTGCTAGCGCACTCATTGCAATCGAGTCAACACATGATTGCCTGCAGAGAATCCAAATGGCTGACAATGAGGTGGAAGCCCAAGTACTAGCTGCAATTGAAGTAGTCAAAAATATTGGAGCTGACCCGATTGCTGATTACTCAAGACTGCACAGAATAAGGAGGCCATCTCGACGCCTTGAGGACCAACCAGAAACAGCTGCAGTAGAGTTATCAAATGTATCCACTTTTTACCGCGCCAAATTTTTCAAGTTTATGGATCAAATGTGCACCACATTAATGGAGAAACCAAGTGATCTTAAGGATACTTTTAATCCCTTCCTAAAGGTATTACATCCAGAAACACCAGGCACAGTTCAGAACATGCAAGATGTAGTAGAGACATTCCCCTCAGTGTTCTCAAAGGAATCAAGCCAAGTATTACACAACAAATTGTCTGTTTTCTTCCAATACGCGTTAAAGAAACATAGAAGGATGAAGGAAGAACGCCAGTCACAAGGTCTTGAGGCGAAACCGATGACATGTAAACTATAAACATGGAAATAAAAGTTAAAGTTTTAGTTCGCAAGTTACCATACAATTTCAGGTTTTTTTGTTGTGTATCATAAAATCAGGCAGATTCCTCTATTACACCCCCAATTAAGAGACATTCGCTATGTCCCTGCACATTTGTTTTGATTTTTGCAATTTGAAAACATTGTGCAATACTTAGTGTTCACAATTCAGGCAAGATGGCCGAAGCGCGGGAGTGAAAAATTTGATTGTGCTCAAAGCTTACATATATTCTCATCAAAATAAGAAATACAGTTGATGAATAATTTTCATATCTATAATAGATGTTTTTGAATTGTGTTTTCGGAAATTTTGCTTTGAGCACATATTTCAAAATTAAGCGTAAATAAAGATTAAAGTGCTACATGTCTTGGGTTCGAATCTTCAATATTATTGGCACACATTTTGACTCCAGTTCGGAACTATTTGTTACACAAAAGGCGCAGTAACTTCATTAAAAACAGAGTGTTATTGGTGCCTTCACAAGTATTTCCAGCACACAATGGTCTGGATGTCCTGAACTGTTCCATGATAATGTCTGACATTAAGATGTAGGTAACTTGCTTAGTGGAACTAAACATAAAGGTTGGGTTGACTATATTTTATTATATATTAGCATTACCTAATACATTGTGCAAGACATTAACTTGCCAATTTAATTTTAACAACCATATATAGGCTATGCCATATAGCATCCATATGGGTCACCTGTCAGACTGCATTAAGCTACACTGTTGAGTGTATTCCATTGCTTTATAATATAAAATTTCACATTTATATGATGGGGAAAATAGTAGTGAGTTGATTTTTTCGTGGAATTTCCATCCTGTGATAGATGGTAATGCCAGGAATAGGTGTGGGTAAATCAATAATGATTTTTGGCACTTCACTCGATGATGCAGGAATATTCTAGTGGTTTAAAAGGTCTTAATTTCCAAAGTGAAGTGCCAAAAATCATTATTGATTTACCCTCACCTATTCCCGGCATTACCATCTATCTATACACATTAACCATGCTTGCTCTTGTCTACTTCTGTAGCTCAGTGGCAAGAGCATTGCACCGGCATCGCAAAAGCGTAGGTTCGATTCCTGCCGGAGGACCCATGGTTGACTCATTTTTCCATCAACTGTTCCTGGCTTGAATTTAAAGTGGGTATAATACTACTCGAAATTAAGACCCTTTAAACCACTAGAATATTTGGTATGTAGACTTTTGGAATTTTTTTGTCCTTTATGAAACTGTTATTCACTGTTCCTTGTTCGGTCTTGAAGTTGAAGGTAAGTTAAATATTTTTCAATAGACGTTAATATGTATTTATGAAAGAATGAAAAGCAATATTAATATGTATAAATAGCGAATATTTGAGGGTAGCGTATAAAGGCACAAGCAAACGAAAGAAGCAATGTGGTAGAGCAACGTGATTTTTGCAAGTTTTTCAGTTCCAAAAGCAAATAAAACATATCCTGTTGTGATATTCTTTAGGATTACTTAAGGACAGTACATTTTAACTTTCGGGATAGAGTTTTTAATATCTGCTTCAAAAAAATAAAAATTTGCGTTGCCGCATCATATCCGGTGTAGTTCGCTATGCTAATAATTCGGTATTAGACTGTAAAAACAAAAAATTCTGAAAAAAATAATAATTATAGCAGCTTCAAATTTGTATAGCTGGATGAAATCGTTAGGCTGGCTACTGAATATTAATATAGATGTATGATATTTACTCCTTATTAAAATTTGAATCAATGAAATATATAGCCTGAAATTTAATAGAAGGAAATTTAAAATAAGTGTAAAATGTTTGCACAGTCTTAAGTATATATCCATGCAATAGTTTACCAAAACAGATAAATACACATACTAAGTGTTTACATAGAAATATCCTTTTTTAACCTAGGCTTGTTTAACATGTTTGTCAGAAAAGGTTGTATGTTAGAGAGCTAAAGCTCTCTGAAATTATACCCCACATTAGTTATTTTGTTTTTTTTGTTTGATGCATGGATATCGCAACAGCATTGTTATATTTGCATTGTTCAACACAATTTGCCAGTAGATGCCGTTTAATTAATTGGTATCGAATATAAGAATTGTCTGAATTGATATATACTATGTGAGTGTTACATAATATGTAAGTGCTTTTCAAGCAGTGGCCTTGGTTAGCTTGTTCCATGTTAGAGACCTAAAGCTTTCAAAAAGTAATCCAGCATTATTTAAATAAAACACAGTATGGTGGTCTAAGAGATTATTTG